CAGGGCGGGAAACAGAATTGACACAGCAATTGCAATCACCAGCTGACTGGGGTGATGGACTGTGCCAGACCCTGTACTGGCATGCACACACAAGAATCTCGCACTCTCCTGCTGGACAATCCCTGGCTTCTGCAGAAAAGGCCCTCAGCAGGCGGGCTGCCGCTCCCAACCGCCAGCTCCTCCCCAGGAGCCTGTGTGGTGGCGGGCCACCATGGGCGGGGGAGGAGGAACTCACCAACACTGCAGCCTCCGTAAAACCTATGTCCCCATTTTATTGTTTCATCTACTAGTTGTCTTAAATCCTTTCGTGAACAAGACAGAGTGTAAATAAAATAAATTTGAAAGTTTAATAAAAATCTAAAATTCCACAGCCAAACTTACTCTGGCATTGCTTGCTAGTTGCACTGGGAGAGGGCAGTGCAACTGGCTGGGCATCCTCAACAGGCCACACCCCACCAAACCCAGCCCCCCAGCAGCTTCTGAGCCCCCGTGGGCACCCCTCATCTCTGGGGGTCCTCTTCAGAGCCAGCAGCCGTCTTGGCAGGGCTTTCTTACAGCCTTAATTCCCAGAGAGGCTCCCCACCCTCGAGTGCAGGAGGCAGCCCTGACAGCTGTTAAAACTAGGCCTTGTCAGCAGAGAAAGACAACATAACGTGAGGAACCCACAGCCCAACACTTGGTGTGGATAGCCCCAGGATGAAGGCACCAAGAGCAGGTTAGCATTTTGGAAAAGCAAAGCCTCCTGCTGATGGACAAATACTGACTGAGCACCCGCTTACACACAGCCACACTCAGCGAGGAGCCCTGCACCGTGCACCCGCTTACACACAGTGACACTCAGCGAGGAGCCCTGCACTGTGCACCTGCTTACACACAGTGACACTCAGCGAGGAGCCCTGCACCGTGCACCCACTTACACACAGCCACACTCAGCGAGGAGCCCTGCACCGTGCACCCACTTACACACAGTGACACTCAGCGAGGAGCCCTGCACCGTGCACCTGCTTACACACAGCCACACTCAGCGAGGAGCCCTGCACCGTGCACCTGCTTACACACAGCCACACTCAGCGAGGAGCCCTGCACCGTGCACCTGCTTACACACAGCCACACTCAGCGAGGAGCCCTGCACTGTGCACCTGCTTACACACAGCCACACTCAGCGAGGAGCCCTGCACTGTGCACCTGCTTACACACAGCCACACTCAGTGAGGAGCCCTGCACTGTGCACCTGCTTACACACAGCCACACTCAGTGAGGAGCCCTGCACCGTGCACCTGCTTACACACAGTGACACTCAGTGAGGAGCCCTGCTCGTGCACCTGCTTACACACAGCCACACTCAGCGAGGAGCCCTGCTCGTGCACCTGCTTACACACAGCCACACTCAGCGAGGAGCTCTGCACCGTGCACGTGCCTAACGCACTGCCATGACCTCTCAACCGCTCACTGACGGAAAGGTTAAGCTGCTCCCCTGGGGCACCCACACAGAACAGCAGCGACAAGGCCCTGTGCGAGCAGCCTCCCTCCGGCCTCTCGGAGCTGGAGCTCCATTCTGCAGGCTAGGGACCCGTTCAAGGTCATCCCGGGGGTAGGACTCCAGGGCTGGACTGCTGCCCCGCAGCCTCACGCTCACACAACGCTCTTCACCTGTGTAGAGCTTGGTTCTGAGCTTCACCCCTCACACCAAGGGCCACACTGACCCAGCTTACGGTTACAGACAGGAAGTTGTGGGCATGGCGGTGGACACGGACACACATCTTTCCAGACTCACCCTCCCTGACTGGGATGAGTGCCAGAGGCGGTCAGGGAGCTGGCTGAGGGCTCAGAAGGCACCTCAGTGCTGCTAGGGCCCTGTGTGTACCTACTTGAGGCTTTTTTTTCCCCCTTTTTAAAAAATTATTTTTACTGGAAAGGCAGATATACAGAGAGAAACAGAGACAGAAAGATCTTCCATCTGCACTTTCAATGCCCAAGTGGCCACAACAGCCAGAGCTGAGCTGATCCGAAGCCAGGAGCCAAGAGCTTCTTCTGGGTCTCCCATGCAGGTGCCGGGTCCCAAGGCTTTGGGTCATCCTTGACTGCTTTCCCAGGACACAAACAGGTTGCTGGATGGGAAGTGGAGCAGCTGGGACATGAACTGGCGCCCATTTGGGATTCCGGCACATGCAAGGCAAAGATTTAGCAACTGAGCATTGTGCCAGGCCCTTTGTTCCACTTCTTAAAAATTTATTTTCTTATTAACTTGAAAGCTAGAGTGACAGAGAGGGGAGACAAATCTTCCATCCATAGGTCCACTCCCCAAAAGGTCACAATGGCCGGGGTTGGACTGGGCTGCAACCAGAAGCCAGGCCCTAGCCCGAGCAGGGTGGTACTGGGCCAGTTTGTCTGTGCTACCAGTCTGTGGTACGCCAGGCAGAGCATGGTCTGCCTGCCTTCTAGGTGGGGTGTGGGGAGGCATGTGACTACCAGGGTGCCTCAAATGCTTCTGACTGAGAACTCTCAGGCAAGTCTGGGTTCCCCTGAGCAGCAGGGGTGCAGGGACCCTCGAGGGCGCAGGTGCCGGTGACACTGGCTAGCCCTTCACTGCTAAGTGCTGGCATCGCATGTAGGTTTCTGGCTTTGGACTGGCTTAGGTCCAGTGTGGCAGTCATTTGGGGAGTGAACGAGTGGACCACAGGATGGAATATCTTCTTCACTGTAAATCTGCTTTTCCGATAAAAATGAATAGAGACAGAGAGGAAGATCTTCTGCCCAATGATTCATACCCCAAGTGACCATAATGGCTGGTGCTGCGCTGATCCGAAGCCAGGAGCCAAAACCTTCCTGCAGGTCTCCCACGCGGGTGCAGGGTCCCAAGGCTTTGGGCTGTCCTCGACTGCTTTCCCAGGCCACAGGCAGGGAGCTGGATGGGAAGTGGGGCCCCAGGATTAGAACCGGTGCCCAAATGGGATCTTGGCACTTTTAAGGTGAGGACTTTAGCTGCTAGGCCACAGTACTGAGCCCAAAATGCATAAATCTTAACAAAAACCACAACCAAGGGCAGACAGCAGAACTTCCAGCGTCCCAAGACAAACTGGCTGCCTGAGCTGAGGACGCAGTTTCACGCACAGGGATTCCAACAGGAGGGTGCGTTTCAGACAGATCCCACCTGCACAAGCACGGGAGGCACTTTCACTCACTGGGGCCTGTGCTGTGGCACAGCAGTCAAGCTGCTGCTGCAGGACTGGCTCTCCCTCCTGGCACGCCAGTGCTTCCGCCATTTCAGACACAGCTCTCAGTGGATGTGTCTGGGAAGGCAGCGAGCGAGGGTCCCAGCGCTCGGGCCCCTGTCATGGTGTGGTACACCAGCATGGAGCCCCTGGCTCTGGTCTGGCTCAACCTGGTAGCTGAGGCCATTTGGGGAGTGAACCAGGAGATGGAAAAACCTTTCTCTCTGCCTCTGAAATGAATATATCTTAAAAAAGATAAAAAGGAATATTTCTGTGACCCCCATCCATTAGTCCAGTAACACTGTCAGGCCTGGAAACCCCAGTGGTCTCAAGGCATACCTGATAAATGTTTCCCCGGAACCCTGGCTAGACTGACTGCTCCGCATCTCCCCGACCACCTGCAGCTGCTGAGGGGCCGCTGAGCCGGACAAACAGGTCAAGGCCAGTAAGTCGTCACTAGCAGACCAACTCGATCTGTGTGGAGACAAAGGCTCATTCCAGAAAGGCTGGCTTCATCCAGCAGCTCTTTCTCTAAGAACTGGAAACAAATAAACTCCTGCCTGTTTCCCACGGTTGGAGCAGTTAGTCCTGCCTGCTCCCTTTCTGATCTAGCTCCCTGTTGCTGTACCTGGAAGATGGGTCCAGTGCCCGGATCCCTGTCACACACCCGCTGGGAGACCCAAATGGAGCTCTGGGCTCCTGGCTTCAGCCTCGTCCAGCCCTGGCTGCTGTGGCCACTTGAGGAGTGAACCAGTGACTAAAAGATCTCTCTCTAAAAAAGAAACCTCTTTCAATCAGCTAAACAAATCCTTAAAAGAGGGCCCTGTGCAATAGCCTAGTGGCTAAATCCCCGCCTTGCATGCACCGGGGTCCCATATGGGCACCAGCCCTAATCTGGGCAGTCCCACTTCCCATCCAGCTCCCTGCTTGGGGCCTGGGAAAGCAGTCGAGGACGGCCCAAGCCTGGCGGTCCTGCATCCCCGTGGGAGACCCGGAAGAGGCTCCTGGCTTCTGATCGGCTCAGCTCCCGCAGTTGCAGCCACTTGGGGAGTGAACCGGCAGATGGAAGATCTCTCTCTCCCTCTCTTTCCTCTATCTGTAAAAATCTGCATTTTCAGTGAAAAAGAAACTTTTTTTTTTTGCCCTCAGCCTCACCTGGGTTACAGTGCGAGTTCTAACCCAGAACAAACACCCCTAGGTGCCGTAGGGCGGCCTAGCAAAGGCCGAGTTCTCAGAATCGGGTCACCGGAGGCTTCCGTGGTGACCGCGCGCCCGTGTGGGGTGCCAGGGACAGCAGTCCAGCCGCGTTCACCTGCCCAGCAGGGACATCAGGTGTGCCCAAGGAAACACCTGCCATGGGGCTGCGGGGAGAAGCGCACGGGGTGGGAGGAGGGTGCGCCCCGGGCGCAGGCCCACGTGGCGAGGAGGACCTGCTGCCCGCGTCCCCCGGCGACCTGACCTTGGAAGCCCGCCCGCCCTTCACGCCGGACTCGTCCCCGTCGCCCCCGCGCGCGCGTCCTCCTCCACGTCCAGGGGCCCGGGTCGGGGGCCGTCGCCCGCCTCCCTGGTCGGCCGCGCGTGGCCCGGGGCCCGCGTGGGGCACAGCGGCGGGGTCCGGTCCTGCGGCCGCCGTGGGCAGCGGCGGAGGCCGCCCCAGCAGCCCCGGGCGGCGGGCGCAGCGCGTCGGGGGTCACCGGCGTGCGCGGCCGCGGCGGAGGCCGCCAGCTCGGCCCTCCCGGACGACCGGGCCCGGCCGCAGCGCCCAGGCCGTCTCGCCGCGGGCCTCACCTCTCTGCGCACGTTCAGCAACGAGTAATAGTCTTCATTGTCCAGCTCCTCCTCGCTCAAGGCCGTCGCCATCTTCGCAACCTTTCACCCGGCCAAACCGGCGAGGCCGTGCCCAAGAGGGGCGCGCCGCCCCGACAGCGCGCCCGCCCGCCGGCGCCACAGCGGCCCCTGGCGGCGCGGAGCCGCCCGCCGCCCCGACAGCGCGCCTGCGCCCTGCGCCCTGCGCCCCCGCGCGGCCGGAGGCGGGCGGGCGCCGGACACGTGCTGTCCACCCGCCCGAGGGCCACCTGCCCCCAGGCCTGTCTCCCGGTGAGCGGCGGCGCCCCGGGGCCCGAACGGTGGACCCTTGCTGGAGTGGGGCACTCTGCAGTCAGATCTGGGCGTTGAGGGAATGGCCCCTTGTGCCACCAGTGTTGTCCCCTGCGGGCCCTGTGTCCAGGCATGAATTTGTCCCTGATCGGCCTAGTCTAATTGATTTCCACCTGGTGCCTGCTCTTTGGTGCATTATTAAAGACGTCTTGGTTATACTCACGTAAATAATTAAACTGTCTGAGAATGGATGCCCGTTATCCACTGACGGCGTGCAGCCAGCCACTCTCCTGCCACCTGTTTGGGCCTTGCTGACCTGAGTGTGACCCTATCTTTTCTCGGGATGCTTTGTTCCTGGAGGAGCCGCCGTGGGTTCAGCAGCATCCCTGTTGCCCCCCGTGAGCTGGTTCCTGGAGGCCCCCAGACACTTGTCTGATGTGCACCCCTGGGCCTGGGCCTCACCCCTTCCAGTCTCGGATCTGGTGGCGTGAGCTACGTGGGTGTAGTCAGCAGAGGCTACCTCAACGACAGGTTGTCGCCCCAGGCTGCAAATCGAGAGGCTGGGTGCTCCCCGCCCTGCTCACGGTCACGCGGGGTCCACGGGAACTCCCTGCCCTGCTCGCGGTCACGCGGGCTCCACAGGAGCTCCCTGCCCTGCTCGTGGTCACGCGGGGTCCACAGGAACTCCCTGCCCTGCTCACGGTCACGCGGGGTCCACAGGAGCTCCCTGCCCTACTCACGGTCACGCGGGGTCCACAGGAACTCCCCGCCCTGCTCACGGTCACGCGGGGTCCACAGGAGCTCCCTCGCCCTGCTCACGGTCACGCGGGGTCCACAGGAGCTCCCTGCCCTGCTCGCGGTCACGCGGGGTCCACAGGAGCTCCCTGCCCTGCTCGCGGTCACGCGGGGTCCACAGGAACTCCCCGCCCTGCTCATGGTCACGCGGGTCCGTGGGAACTTCCCGCCCTGAGGTCATGCATGTCCATGGGCCCTTGTGGTTTTTATGGGCTTTGCTTTGCTTTCTTTTGCAGAGCTGTGACATGGATTAAGCTGCATGCACACTCTTTTTTTTTTCCCTTTGGTAAAGTTTATTTAAAAGGTGAGGAAACCACATTCAGGGGTAGAGTGGGCAGAGAGGGACGGGGGAGAGGGATGGTGCTGCTTCCATCTTGTGTCTGCAGGAAGAGAGAGCAAGCCGGTTGCCTGGCTGCTGCTGCAGCCCTGCTGCGGTCCTGCTGTGGCCTCAAGGCCAGGTGGAGGGCGGACACCCCGGGGAAGGGGTCAGTGGGCTGGAGGGGCTGCTGTGCAGGTGCAGATGATCCTCTGATCCTCAGGTTTCTCGAATTTGCTGGGTTGTGATGCTCAGTTGGGTCTAAAGCTCTTGGCCGTCCCTGCCCTGCTTGGAAAGACGCAGCCTCTTCCGATCACGTAAATGGAACAGAAGCTGTGTCTCGCTCCATGTTCCTGGGACAGAGATCGACCTGGTTTTATCACCGCTCAGACAAAATAAAGTGCCGCTGGGGACTCCAGGGCTCTCTGCTGGCGGGCCTGCGGTGTCACGTGCTGTGGTCGAGAGGACCTGAACTTGGATAGCCCAAGTTTGAAAAGTCCAAAACACACATCAGGCTGTGGGCTGCAGGGCTGGGTGTGATGCCCAGGCCCCTGTCTGACACCCTGGGATGGACACTTGGCTCTGGCTTCCTGCCGAGGCAGGACTAGGTGGCTCAAGTCCTCGCCTTCCCGCCATCCACGAGTGGGGCTGGCATTGCACTCCCAGCTCCCCGCTTCTGTCTGCCCTGGGGCTGGTGACAGCATTTTAGAAAGTGAATCAACAGATTGGACTTTCAAATCAATGAAAATGAAGAATGAATGTAAATTAAAAAAAAAATTCTAGCCAGGGTTGGTGTCACAGTGTAGCCTGTAACGCTGGCATTCCCTGTGGATGCTGGTTCGAGTCCTGGCTGCTCCATTTCTGATCCAGCTCTTTGCTAGGGCTCCTGGGAAACGCGAAGAGAATGGCCCGAGTGCTTGGGCCACTGCCAGCCATGTGGGAGACCTGACGGAGCTCCAGGCTCCTGGCTTCGGCCTGGCTTAGCCCAGTTATTGAGGCCATTTCGGGAGTGAACCAGAGTATGAAAATTCTGTTTTTCCTTCTCTCCTTGCAACTCTATCTTTCACATAAATAATGAAATTTTTTAAAAGAGTCATTTATGTTTATTGGAAAGGCGGATATACAGAGAGGAGAGACAGAGAGGAAGATCTTCCGTCTGATGATTCACTCCCCAAGTGACCGCAACAGCCAGTGCTGTGCCGATCCGAAGCCGGGAACCAGGAACCTCTTCTGGGTCTCCCACACGGGTGCAGGGTCCCAAGGCTTTGGGCCGTCCTCCACTGCTTTCCCGGGCCACAGGCAGGGAGCTGGATGGGAAGTGGGGCTGCCAGGACTAGAACCGGCGCCCATATGGGATCCCGGGTGTGTAAGGTGAGGACCTTAACCACCGCGCCATCGCGCCGGGCCCAATAATGAAATCTTTAAAAAAAATTTGTTTTGGTCATTCTGTAGCCACTCAGAAAGCCCTAAGGAAAGATGAGGCCTTCCTTGTAGCATTTACTGGTGACAGGGTTAAGCGGAGTAAGTCCAGCTGAACTGAATTTTGGACAAGCAGCAGCTGACAGTGCCTGTGCACTTACACTGAAGTCAGGTCTGACCGAGCATGCTGGAGTTCTGTCTGTCCCTCTCGGTTTCCTGAACTTAAATCCTGAGATGGAAGGAAGCCGGCACCTGCCTTTGTCCCTTCTACAGCTGGGCTGAGTCCTCCCCCACCCCCCGCAACTCTTCTATAATTCAGAGGGGGTTAAAAAAAAAGATTTGTTTATTTTCACTGGATAGGCAGATTTACAGAGAGGAGAGACAGAAAGATCTTCCATCTGCTGGTTCATTCCCCAGATGGCCACAATAACCAGAGCTGAGTCCATCGGAAGCCAGGAGTCAGGAGCCTCCTCCAGATCTCTCACGTGGGTGCAGCATCCCAAAGGCTTGGGCCATACTCTGCTGTTTTCCCAGGTCACAAGCAGGGAGCTGAAAGGGAAGTGGAGCAGCCAGGACTTGAACCGGCGCCTCTGTGGGGTGCTGGCACTAGCTTGTTGAGCTACCGCGCCGGTCCTTCTGAAGGAAAATTTACTTTTGCACTTTTGTTAGCGCTGCACAAGCTCCTCCTGCCGTTCAGGGACTGCTCTGCCCCCGTGCACCCCGTGAAAGGAGGCTCTGCCCCCATGCACCCCGTGAAAGGAGGCTGGGCCGGGAACTTTAGACGAAATGAAGAATTTGCAAGCCCTCCAGAGCCGTTTTCTTAATGTTCTTTGGTCCCTGAGCACTTGGTGACTTTGTCACTGCCATCTGGCGCCAAGAGGATGACTACAGAAGTGGAGGTCACCCGGAGAAAGAGCCTGGCGTGTGCCCGCTGATACAGTCACCCGGAGGGACTGAGAGCTGAGCTGCCCCAGAGCCTGGCCCCAGGGGCAGCCTGACTTGGACAGAGACACGGTGATGGCGTGGGGGTCCCTGCAAAGCTCGCACCCTATGGCTACAGTCGCAGAGCCGCCTCTGGGTACGGCGTTTTCACAGAACCGGCATCTGTGCCATCCTGCATGCGGGTCGGGCTTCCCTGCTGTCGGCCACTCGAGGTCCTTGGTCCCTGCATGTGTGGGCATTTCAGGGATTTCATGGAGCAATGGGCACTTGGCCTGGCGGAGAGGATTCCTGTGCTCCACCTTTGAGTATCTGGGTTCAGTTCCCAACCCTGGCCCCCGTCGGCAGCACCTGCCAATGCAGAGCCCTGGGCGGTGTGGCTGCTTTTGCTCACACAGCAACGAATCCGTGGATGGCAGCTAATTTTCTCAAAGATTTGCTGCGTTTGTTGTTTTGTATTCATGGGAAGTAGAATTAAAGGTTAACTTGTTTTGGCACAAAAAGTTTTAAAACCCGTGCATAACATGAAATCTTCAGTGTGTGGAGGAGCTGCTGTTGTGGCATAGCAAATGAAACTGCTGCCTGCAGTGCCAATATGCCGTAGCGGCACCATTTGAGTCCCAGCCGCCTTACTTGCAGTCCCGCTCCCTGCTTGTGGCCTGGGAAAGCAGCAGAGGACGGCCCAGGTGCTTGGGGCCCTGCACCTGTGTGACAGACCCAGCAGAAGCTTCCTGGTTTCCACCTGGCCTCAGCCCAGCTGGGCCATCTTGGAACTGACCCAGTGGATGGAGGCTCTCGCTCTCTTCCTCTCTCTCTCTGTGACTCTGCCTTTCACAGAAATAAAAAAATCTGTTAAGAAAGCTTGTGGGAAAATATGTATTATGAGGAAATTATACATGTGTTTAAACTTTTTTTCTTTTAGATAATTTTTTTCTTTTTTTTTTTTTAATCTTACATAGTTGATTAGGGCACAAAAGGTCAAGGGCTACAGGAAAGTGGGTAAGACCATTTTTTTCACACTAATATAATCACTTTTCCCCCCTGTTTCTGGGGTCAGGGGAGAAACAAAGGGAGAAGCCCCACGCAGCCTCCCACCCATCCCAGATCTCCGATATGGGGCATGCTCCAAGGGTCCTGCTCAAGCAGTTTTGGTAGTTCAACAGTTCTGAATTGCTGCCAATCTCGCTGCTCCAAGCATGATGAAATCTCTTCAGAATCCACTGGCTGACATAGTCTCTTCATGGTTGGGGGAGGGATCTCAAAAGAAACTTCGTCTGAGGTGATTCCAGACCTGATTCTTGTGT